TAGTTTTCTCACATACTGATTTTCACATGTATTTGACATTAAAGTTGATAAGAGAGATCTTTTTGTGTTTTTAAAAGCCAAATTTGATTTTGATTTTCTCTTTAAAGTTTTTTTTTTTTTTTTTTTGGAGACAGAGTCTCACTATGTTGTCTGGGTTAGAGTGCCATGGCATCAGCCTAGCTCACAAGTAGCTGGGACTACATACAGGCATGCACCTCCATGCCTGGCTAATTTTTTCTACATATTTTTAGTTGTCTGACTAATTCTTTCTATTTTTAGTAGAGACAGGGTCTCGCTTTTGCTCAGGCTGGTCTTGAACTCCTGATCTCCAGATCAGATCCTCCCATCTCGGCCTCCCAGAGTGCTAGGATTACAGGCGTGAGCCAGCAAGCCTAGCCTAGATCTCTTTTTGTTTAGAAATGTAAGCTCTTTTGTTTAGAGATGTAAACTATGTGACCTTGATAAATTTCCATATTGAAGCCACCTCAGAGCACTCTTTGAAGGCTCAATCTGCCTAAACTCTTATACTTGGGAAATGGCTTAAGAGATGATAAATTATCAATGTGATAAAATACCAGGCAGTCAACAGAAATTGCAATGTTGAAGGCACACAACATGGAAATGTGTAAAATAGCATTTTAAGTACAAAAGTTGAACACTGATTTCAATGAGCCAGGATCTGTTTTGGTTCTATGGTAAAAAAAATTTACATGTTAGATACACAAGGAATTTTTTTCCCCTAAATTGTTTTCTTTTTTTTTTCTTTCTTTCTTATCCAGGTGGACAAAATTGTTTTCTTCAATGTGGTTAAAACATGGATTGTATAATAATATATACAGTGTGTGTCAAGAGCAGTGATCACTGTTAATGAGTAAACCAAAGCATTTTTTGCAAATTATTAGTAAATAAAAGGACTTTCAAAGGGCAAAGAGCTTAAGTTATAAAAGGAAGGGTTGGTTACAGGAAAACCTATTTGGCAAATTTAGGAGGAACACAGTCTTGATTATTCCTGAAGAGTGCATTCTGACAGAGGGCCAGAAAACATCTCTTTAAGGGATAAATTCAAGAAAGGCCAAAGTACCAAGCTCCTAGGGCAGTAAATGAATCTGTAGAATACAGGTCCAAGGATCTGATGCTATTGATAAACCTGAATGTTTTGACATTCCCTCTCACAGGGAAAAAACCAGCCAAGGCTGGTACAAAGAGAAATGTAGTGGGTATAAAATTCAACAATCACAAATCAAAGGTAGGCCAGGCGTGGTGGCTTAATGCCTGTAATCCTAGCACTCTGGGAGGCCGAGGCAGGTGGATTGCTCGAGGTCAGGAGTTCAAACCGCCTGAGCAGAGCGAGCGAGACCCCATCTCTACTATAAATAGAAATATAATTAATTGGCCAACTATATATATAGAAAAAATTAGCCGGGCATGGTGGCACATGCCTGTAGTCCCAGCTACTCGGAGGGCTGAGGCAGCAGGATCGCTTGGATTGAGCCCAGGAGTTGAGGTTGCTGTAGAGGCTGAGTGACACGGCATTCACTCTAGCCTGGACAACAAAGCAAGACTCTGTCTCAAAAAAAACCAAATCAAAGGTACACAATTTTGCCTTGTATTTCAGCATCTCCCACTCCCACCAAAGAGTTCTCCCGTCTCCTCTTCCCTTCCTTCCTCAGAGCCTGGGTAAGGAAACCTGAACAAGGAGAGTTAATGGTCCTTACCTGTTAATCTGTTCATCCCACTTTGATTATATCCCTGTCCGGCACCTCACTGGTGTATGCTGGCCAGTGAGGCTGACCTTAGGCTCTGCCACCTAGCAGCCTTCCTCAGACGCAGGTACTCTATGGCTCAAGAGCCATGTTGATCCTGTTGTCACACTCAATGTAGTGCCATGCTGAATAGAGTACTATTGTGGTAATGATACCTTGTTGGATAGAGCACCTTGGTTTCCCTGACAATGTCATCAGTGATCAAGTGGTAGCCCAGAACATCAGAAACTCCATCTAGTCAACAAACTTCTGCTTCACTGGTGACTGTGGTAAGCAGAAAAATGTCCCCTCCTCCCAAGATGTCCATGTCCTAATACCTGGAAACTGGGAATGTTAGATTATAGGGCAAAGGGAAATTAAGGTTGCCTCTAAAGGTTTTAATTCCCTAGCATCTGAGGCCACCCTGAAGCAGCACCTACATAGAGAAAGCCTTTAGGTAGAAAGTTGCAGATGCTTTCAGTAGGAAGCCATTAGCAGGAATGGCAAGTGCAAGAGATAGTGGCATGCCAGCAACTGCTATATAGAAGGTGACATTTAAGCAAGGATTTGAAGGAAGTGAGGGAGTGAGTCATGTGGACATGTGGGGAAAGAATGTTTCAGGCAGAGGGAACCACTGTTGCAAAGGTCCCAAAGCAGGAGCTGTCTGGCACATTTGAGGAGCAATAAGGGCTGTGGATAAATGGTCTTGTGTCCTTCCCCTTCCCCTCCATGTGGCTGGAGTAGAGTAAGCAAGGGGGAAAGTAGAGGAGATGAGAATACAGAAATCACAGGAGTCAAGAACATATAGAAGGCCAGATGTGGTATTCATGCCTGTAATCCTAGCACTCTGGAAGGCCAAGGCAGGAGGATCGCTTGAGCCTAGGATTTTGAGACCAGCCTGAGCAAGAGCAAGACCCCGGCTCTACAAAAATTAGAAAAATTAACCGGGCATGGTGGCTTGTGGCTGTTTTAAGGACTTGGGATTTTTTAATTTTTTTTTAGTTGGCCAATTAGTTTCTTTCTATTTTTTAGTAGAGACGGCGTCTCGCTCTTGCTCAGGCTGGTTTCGAACTCCTGAGCTCAAGTGATCCGCCCACCTTGGCCTCCCAGAGTGCTAGGATTACAGGGGTGAGCCACTGTGCCCCACCAGGACTTGGGATTTTACTCTGAGAGAAAAAGGGAGCTGGCCCCCTCCCCTAGCCTGGCCCAGCTCTGGCCTGGTCCTAGGCTGGACTCATACACAATTTATTTGACGTTTTATTTTGGTTTCCCCCACCCCCTCAATCTGTCCTTCACCCCTTCCCTTGGGTGAAGCCCCTGCCCTTCACCCAGCTCCCTTGGCCAGGAGTGAGCAAGCCATGGCCTTGGTGAAGCTGCCTGCCTCTTCTCCCTTTGCACTACAGCCCTGGTGGGGGAGAGGAGATGGGTGCTGCTTGTGGTTTAGTTTTGGGGTTTTTTTGTTTTTGTTTTTTTTTATTCAATCTGGAATCAGAAAGCTGTGGATAAATGGTCTTGTGTCCTTCCCCTTCTCCTACTCATCCCTGGTCTGGTCCCCTATTCCCCATAGCCCTTTATCCCAAGCACCACTCCCACAGACTGGGGACCAGCCCCCTCCCCTATTTCTCTTCCCAAACCCCTTTAGATGGGGAGGGAAAAGGAGGAGAGGGGAGGGGACCTGTCCCCTCCTCAGGTATCTGGGAGGGCCCTGCCCCCATGGGCTTCACCCTTTCCTGCCCGCTCTCTCCCCGACAAATTTGTTAAAATCAAACCCGAATAAAACTACAAGTTTAATATGAAGCCCCCCCCCCAAAAAAAAGAAAGAAAAAGGGAGCCATTAAAAGTTTGAAAAGAGATGTGACATGATCTAACATATTTCAAAAGGATCAAGCAGACTCCTATTCTGGAAATAGACTACAAGAGAGCAAAGGAGGAAGGCGGGGGACAGGAAGCTGTTGCAATATCCAGGCAAGAGATGATAGTGGCTAAGAGTAGGGGCAGCAGAAGTCATAAGAAGTGGTCAGATTTTGAATATAGTAGGAAGATAAAGCCTACTGAATTTCTTGACAGATTCACTGTGGATGTGCGAGAAAGGAGTAAATTAGCCTGATCAATTGGGCTGAAATAAGGGAGACTATGAGTAAAGCATGTTTAGGGGTACAATTAGGCATTCAGTTTTGAACATGTTGATTTGTGGATGTATACTAGATATTCAAGTGGAGATGTCAAGTTAGCAGTTAACTATACAGGGTCGGAGCTCAGGAGTGTGGTCTAGGCTGGATATATAAAATTGGGTGTTGGTGTTTAGATGATGTTTAGAGCCATCATTGAATGAGATCACCAAGAGAGTGATCTCTCTCTCTTTCTGGATCTGTGATTAGATGTATATTGGATCCTATCTTCTGTCCAGCATAATTCTTATCCACACTTTCAATTCTCCATCTCTTCATCCCTCTATGCTATGTTCTAGGCAATTCCCTCAGATCCAGTGTCCAGGTCATTAATTCTCTCTTTCACTGTTTCTACTCTATCATTTTAATTTTGGGACTTTTTTTCACTCCTAGAAGTTCTGCTTTTTAAAAAATCTGCAATATGGCCAGGTGTCGTGGCTTATCCCTATAATACCAACAGTTTGGGTGGCCAAGAAAAAAGATAACTTGAGACCAGGAGTTCAAGACCAGCCTGGACAACATAACAAGACCCTGTCTCTCCCCCCCCCAAAAAAAAATCTATAGTCTATTTTAATAGTCTTTCTCATTTTTTGATTACTTCTGTCTTTATAACATATATGTTGTATATGTATATAAAAGCATATATACATAAATTCATCCATATAATTTAAGTTCTTATAAGTACTATGTTTCCCAAAAAATAAGACAGGGTCTTATTTATTTTTCCTCAAGAAGACACCCTAGGGCTTATTTTCAGGGGATGTGTTACTTTTTTTAAGTAAGGTACAACAATCTACATTTATTCAAATATAGTTAAGTCATCTTCTCCTGGAACATAATCATAACTCTCCAAACCCCGAATCCCATCCTGAATTTCTTGCGATTCTATTTCCTTTAGAACCACTGGCTGGGACCCGACAGAGCGAGCCAACCTTGTTGGTGGGTCTGCCCACACCTTTCTAGTCACCTCTGGGATAGTAGCTGTCACAATGGGGCAGATGAGAAGGGCCCCTCGTCTTCTTTACCGCTCCATGACGAAATGCATGGGTTATGCAGATATGCTGTGTAGCCACGCCCATCACTAGGTCTTATTTTCGGGGTAGGGTTTATATTGCCCAAATGCTTAGAAATCCTGCTAGCGCTTATTTTATGGGGAAACACGGTATGATCCTGTTTTCACTGTGCCTCCACTATGGTAGGTTGTTTCTGGGTGTGTGTGTTTAATTTTTGGAGTTCATGTTTTCTAGGACTTTGTATGTGGGGATGGTGTATGACTGGGTAAAGAGCATGAACAGATTTTATTTTTTTTTTTGTTTTTATTCATGAACAGATTTTAAAATCTGATTTTACTAAGTGTTTAAGGGTTATCACCAGCCTGGGGCTAACTTTTATGCTAATTCCTCAGCCAGGTGGTTCCTGAACCACATAGTGTAAATTTGAATACCAAATCTGTACGTGGTAGCAAATTCTCATGGAACCTGTTCCCCCTCAATCCTAGGGAAAGTTTCCTTGTTATTTCTCCATGCCAGTGGGGGAAGTTTTTCTAGCTCACCTCTTCACCAAGGATGAAGGTTTCAGGGCCTTCAAGGATAAAGGCTTCAAGCCACTTTTATGCAGGTAGTCCCATTTCCAACTTCCTTTTTTCACGTCCTCCTTTCCAAGATTACAAAGAAAAGAAGGAACAACGGTCATGTCAAAAAGGGCCGAGGCCATGTGCAGCCTATTCGCTGCACGAACTGCACACGATGCGTGCCTAAAGACAAGGCCATTAAGATGTTTGTCATTCGGAACATAGTGGAGGCCGCAGCTGTCAGGGACATATCTGAAGCGAATGTCTTCAATGCCTATGTGCTTCCCAAGCTGTACATGAAGCTACATTACTGTGTGAGTTGTGCTATTCACAGCAAGGTAGTCAAGAATCGTTCTCGGGAAGCCCGCAAGGACCGAACACCCCCACCCAGATTTAGACCTGCGGGTGCTGCCCCAAGACCTCCACTAAAGCTTATGTAAGGAGTTGAGTCCTTAAGGACTGGAGAAAAACTATCCGTTGGAAAAAAATAAAATGGAGAGTATACTTAATATAGCATGTTAAATATGTCTGTGCCAGACAGAGTGAAAGTTTTTGTTATACCAGGTGTTCAAGTGTGAATTGTCACATAATGTTTTCCTTTGAAAGAAAGCTAATCTTTCAGGAACATCAAAACGCAATCAGGATAAAGATAATAAAATAAAAATTAAAAAAAGAAAGCTAATCTGTGTGAATTAAATAACTCTTGTAGTCTAAAAAAACAACAACAAAAAAACTTCCTATCTGGCATGGGCCAAAGTCTCATTTCTCGTACTTGTGTAGGCATTAACACTCAAGAGCAGGTGGGGCGCAGTTGCCTGTAATGCAGGCACTCTGGGAGGCCAAGACAAGAGGATCGTTTGAGGTCAGGAGTTCGAGATCAGCCTGAGCAAAAGCAAGACCCTGTTTCTATCAAAAATAGAAAAATTAGCCAGGTGCAGTGGTGTACACCTATAGTCCCAGCTACTCAGGATGCTGAGACAGGAGAATTGCTTGAGCCCAGGAGTTCGAGGTTGCAGTGAGTTATGATGATGCCACTGCACTTTACCTGGGGCGGGATGACAGAGGGAGACTCTGCCTCCAAAAAGACAAAATGAAACAAAAAAAACACTCCAGATCAATAATCCACTCACATACCTACTCCTGGTCTCTAACAGCCACAGCCAGTTCACATGCTGACTACTCTGGTTTTCAGTTCTCCCTTTGTCTCCAGCTCCTGGCAGTTCCCTTTCCTACAAATTTAACTTTGGACAGTTGTCCCTCAGTATATTGGGGGATTGGTTCCAGGACCCCTCATGTATACCAAAATCCATGCATAAGGTCCCACTGTCGGTCCTGCAGAACTCACTTATAGGAAAAGTCAACCCTCTTTATACACAAGTTTTGCATCCCACTAATACTGTATTTTCGATGCTCATTAGGTTGAAAAAAATCCACAGTATATGTGGACCCACATAGTTCAAACCCATGTTGTTCAAAAGTCAACTGTATTTAAAAGAATGTTATACTTTAGCCAGTATCTCTTTTTGTAGTAGGAATGTTTTCAGGTTATCTCATCTGTCACATTTTTGCAATTGGAAGTCACTTCAGGGGTGATATGGATGGTCAGATTAATTCAGCAGGAATTATTTTCTGGAATGACAGGCTCATTTGAGTGAATGCAATGCTCCTACCTTCCTGTCATGTCAGAAGGATGCACACTTGTGAGGAGTCTGAAGAGTGATCTCCTGAGTACTGTCCTGCTTTATTTCTGTGGCTCTGTCCACCCTGATGATTTACTTCAGTTTGTGCCAGAACTGACCAAGGAGGCCTGTGTGATGACAAATGAACTGGAGACAAATGTGACTGCATCCAGGACCAAGTGCCATTACAGAGGCTCAGTTTGTCTTCGCTAATAGACTCCAGGACTCGGTGAGAACTTCTGTGGGCAGGACATCCATCAGGGCCATGCCATTCCAGCCAGCAACAGGAACTGAAGGGAAGGGGTCTGGTGATATCACAAACAGCTGTTTCCTGTGGCCCCAACAAGGTGTACTCCCTGTTTGAACATCAAACAAGTCCTTATAAGGTTAGGGGCAGCCAAGAAGGGAAAGAGACAGAAACCTCTGCCTAAGGCCTCTGTAAAAAGTCTCTGAGAGCTGTTTCAGGACCATAGTATATCAGTCAGTGAAAGCAAAATGGGCTGGCAAAGGAAGAGGGCAAAAACCTCAAGGAAATCCTTTCTGTTTTCTCTCATCAACAAAACCCACATTTGTCTGCTGATAGGCTGAAGAACAGAATCATGGAGTCTTTGATTGGATGGACACCATCCAATTCAGCTTTCTACTGGGTGCAACCTCCTTACCTGACAGCCTACTGCTGTGGGGCTCTCACTACTAACTTCATGCCAGGATTGCTCTTAATTTTAAGCCTCTTCTTATTTTGAGATAACAATCTTTTAGCCATTTCCACCTTTTGGAAAAATGTTTGCTTCTACTCATCTAGCCTGTATTTGGGGACCATACAAGGCAAATCCTCTTGCTTTTTCTTCCATTTGGGCACATTTCTCTTCCTCTTCAGGTAAGAAGACCTGGTTCCTTCCATCTTTCCTCATATAAAGTGGTCCCAGAGCTGGACATCACCCACCAGATGTGATCTGAATTTTTTTCTCTCGTAGCTTCCAATGACAGGGTTGCCAGGTGATTAGAACCTCCTCCCTACTGTTGGCCCAATCACAGCAACATCAAGGGATTGATGGGTTTCAGATGGAGGGAGCACTCACAGACTACAAGGCAAAGGCCCTTACCCACAAAAACATCATCATAACTCTCCAAACCCCGAATCCCATCCTGAATTTCTTGCGATTCTATTTCCTTTAGTGAGTGTGAGAGGAAAGATTCCAAGGAAGCACTGACATTTTTTACTCAGTGGAGACTGGGTTTACCAACCCAGGGGCACATCAATCATCCCTGGAGCCCCCAAAGGGCCTGAGCTTGTTCTCTAAGCAAAGTAGTGAAATCTTTCTCTTTAGTATCACCACCAAGAGCACAAAGCCCAGCCTGAGAACTTCTAATGTCTTCTCTTTCCTGTATAATCCTGACAGTGTGATCTCTGTTCCTATCCAGGGTAAACTGGCCACTTTCACTTCTGCTTATCTGCATCCTACATAGTTAGAAAGAGAGAAAAGAGGAGGTGAGGGGGAAAAACCTTGACACACAGCCCACATACATACTAGATAGGGAAGGCTGCAGTGTTCTCGGAACACACAAAAGGTATGTCCCCAGAAGCTGCTCACTCATTCCCTGGCACACAGGCCCAGCTCTACCTCATCCCTTTCTGGAGTCAGTGGCTAAACCCAATCATCTCCCGGTTGCCAAGGAAGTAGGGCCTCCTACTGTCTTCACTGGCTCAGGAACACAGAAAGGATGCCCTGAGAGAACTTAGGGTCTGAGGGAACTGAGAAAGAGGTGACCAAGAGGACAAAGGCCTGCCAGGAAGCACCTGGCTGCGCTACATTTTGCTTTCCTACTTAAAACTCAGTCCTGACCCCACCTGTACATAGGGAAAACACCCTTTCAGAAAGGAAATAAAACAAAGTTCTTAGTTGAGCACTAACATCCAAACCAAAACGTTATTTTATCCCTGTATAGAAGACAGTGAATTAAAGTCAAAAGTGTTCTGTGGCAATGACCAAGGGTGTCCTTTGAAGGATGCTTCTCCTAGCAGGCAGGCCATTATGTGTTCTCTGGGCTGGGTCCCAGCCTTGGAGCAGAGTGGCTGGAACTCTGGGTAGGTGGTTTAACAGTTCTGCTAGAGCAGGTTGGAGTTGCTGGTTTCGTCCTTTAAGGTACTGGTGATGAGACTCTATTTTCTATGTATCTGCTGGAGGCTAATCATGGTTTTCAAGTAATTGCGCTGGACACATAAAAGGAGAGAAAACAGGAATTGATTAGGAGCTATGGACTTAACAGGGACTCAGAATCCAGCCCACTGACATTCACCGTATCATTCTTCCTGTAAACCTCATAGTTTTGGGACATAGATTCCTTCTGACTAGCCCCAATTCTGTGGGAAATAACTTTTTTTTTTTTTGAGACAGAGATTTGCTCTGTCACCTAGGCTAGAGTGCAGTGACACAATCATGGGTCACTGCAGCCTCAAACTCCTGGTCTCAAGAGATCTTCCCACCTCAGCCTCCTAAGTAGCTAGGACTACAAGTGTGTACCACTGCTCCCAGCCAATTTTTTTAAATCATTTTTTGTAGAGACGGTGGCTTCCTATGTTGCCCAAACTAGTCTTGAACTCCTGGCCTCAAGCAATCCTCCTGCCTTGGCGACCCAAAGTGCTGGGATTACAGGTGTGAACCACTGTACCCAGCCCATAGAAATAACATTTCATTCAAATCCTTTCATTCTTTCATCTTGTAGAAAGTGTGTAAAACTAATTTAAAATGGCCTGGAAGGCATGTTTAAAAGGAGGCATGTATGTTTCAAGGGCATACTTGAAAGTTTCTGACATGGAATAGGTTCAAAAAGAAAAGAAGGGGATTCTGTCTCCAGAGGAATTGGGGTCCACATACTCTGAAGGGGCCTCCCTCTGCAACTTCAATGAATTAGATGTTTGCAAATTCTACCCTTTTACTGCATTGCTATGCTCTTAGAAAGCAGGTGAAAAAAGAGGGCTGAAACATATACAGTGGGCAGTAAGCAAATGCTAAAACTGGCTTGGAATATGGATTCCCCACAAGGTAGGGGACTAAACATGAAGCTCCCACATTAAGCTAGAATTTATAAAGGGGGTTAATATGGTCCTGGGTTGGTAATGCCCCATGACTAACTGCAAAAAGCACCTACAAACCTTTCAGAAGGAAAGTAATTTTAACTTATGCACTCAGGACTTCTAGAGTTTAAATATGAGCTCATGATTTTACACACACATACCCCACCATGAGACCTGGCAAAATAGGAAATAGATTTTTACTTTGAAAAATCTGATCCTATATAAAAATATATGTGAAAAGTTTAAATAAATATAAGATAGAATCAAAAGAGCAAGGAATGTTTCAAGTATCTGGATAAAAAGTTTATGCATGGGCATGTCTTAAACATTAAAAATGACCAGTGCAGAAAGTTCTCCTAGAGATAGAGGAATGGTGGGAGAAAAGAATTTTGACCTGTAGAAATATAGGATTACTCTGTTTAATGATTTAGAATTTAAATGTTTATCTGAGACTTTGAAACAAAGAAAATTCAAGGTTTATCTGGGATATCAAGAGAGAAATTCATGGTAGTAACCATGCAAATAATTTTGGTTCTATGATCTGTTATTTTGGTTCAAGACATTTTCTAAGATCTTGAAGTAACTTATACTAGTTAAAGCAAGTTTAAAATAATTTATTTATTTATTTTTTGTAGAGACGGGGTCTCGTTCTTGCTCAGGCTGATTTCGAACTCCTGACCTTGAGCCATCCTCCCGCCTCAGCCTCCCAGAGTGCTAGGATTACAGATGTGAGCCACCACACCCAGCCTAAAATAATTTATAATAGGTGGCTCATGCCTGTAATCCCAGTGCTTTGAGAGGCTGAAGTGGAAGGATCACTTGAGGCCAGAAGTTTGAGAACATAGGCAACATAGTGAGATCCTGACTCTATAAAAGACTAAAAAGTAGCTGGGCATGATGGCATGAACTTGTAATCCTAGCTACTCAGGAGGATGAGGCAGGAGAATTGCTTGAGCCCAGGAGTTCCAGGCCACAGTGAGCTATGATTGTGGCACTACACTTCAGCCTAGGTGAAAGGGTGAGACTATCTTTAAAAAAAAAAACTAGCCTCACCAATAATGGGGCAAACCAATATCATGTGCCTCCTAATATACCAAGAAACACGTAACATAATTTCTGTGGTATTCCTGCCAAAAATATATAA